CAGCACCGAGGCGGCGGGGACGCGACGCCGAGGCACAAAGAGGGCGGCGGTGGCCGGGAGCCAGGCGAGACGAAGGCACGTCGGACCTCAGAGCCTCGGTCTCCTCCTTCCTGCGGCTCAGGGACACCCTGCCGCGGGGGCAGGAGGGGCCCAGCACGTGTGCTGTGGTGCGGCCGCCTCCGGCTTCTGACCAGCCGCCGCCTGCTTGTGGCAGGTCCGTGCTTCGTAGGGAAGCCTTTTACTTCCTGCTCACCTGAATAGTGAATTCCTATTTTCTGACGGGCTCTTAAAAGGGAACAGTCGTGTCTGTCCTAACTCGTCTCAAGAAAGACCTGCTCTATCCATTTCTTCCAAATATCTTCTCTATGTCCAGGGTCACGCCTGGCCAATAAATTCCTTTCTTGCACTGTTCGCTAAGCCATCATTCCCTTTCCTTTGTCATCTCATGGAATTAAAAATAACAAGACAAACCATCTATTCTAGGACTGCTCTGACACAAATGCCACAAGTGGTCACTCCTGTTTGCTGACGCGACCAAACCTGGTATGTGCTATTAGAAAGTTAATAAATAATGAAATAGAACATTAGGGCTAATTTGCACCTGGTTTCATGGTTCCATCAAAACTGTGTAGCTTGGAGATAGTGAAGATGAGAAAGAAGACCAAGAGCACGCGAGACCAACGGGTACCTGTTCTCAGCAGGTATGGACTGACAGGTGCTGCAACACAGGCCGGAGGGTCAGCTCTCTGCTAAACGTCAAGTGATGTGATAAGTTTATCCTTGCTTACGGGCCTGTAGGTCCCAAGGCTTTGCCTTAAGCGCTCACTGATAAAGTGTCTGTTTCCTGTTGACTAACTTCTATTGTTGATTATTAAATAAAATATAGAGTGTAAGAATTTAAAAAGTAGGAAAAAAATAACACGGGTAGGTTTGTGATAAACATTTGAATGACTAAACATTTCAAACTACATTGAAAAGCTTAAAATGTTATGTTCTATTGCTTTAATAAATAGGACATCTATAAAATAGTACTTACATGATGTTTCTCAGTGAGCATGGCTACTTCATAGTTGGCTAAATATTGATATTGTGGTAGTTAACTTGACCATATTTTAATTTTTATTTGTGGGCTACCTTTTACATTTATAAATTCCTACACTTGAGTAGTCTATTCATTTTACCTGCTTCTTCTCTTGTTTACTTCTCCTCCCGTCCTTTTACTGAGTGGTTTAAGTGAAAAGGAATGTTTATTCTAATACTTATTAAATAAATTGTGAAAACACGGCAGCCAAACATAAACCCCCCCAAAAGACCATTTTTTCAGGAAGAAGATTGTAAAGTGCTTCAGTTAATTTTTGTGAATTTAATGTTGGTGAAAAATCATATTTTTCTTCTTTGGACAGGTAACATTCATTTGTATATTATTTTTATAAAAATGAAAATGTCACCATAATTAAGACTGTTATTCATTAATATTAATGGTTGCTCTTCCTAGGAGCATTAGACTTTGGAAATATATTCATTTCATTTATTTAATAAATATATATGTATATATACGTGGGTATAGATCTACACAATAGGCAGCCACACTGCGCTCTGGGAGCATCAAAGATGCAATGACTTGTCTCCTTGACTGGGTAGGGGTAGGGGTGAAGGAAGAGGGACTTCACAGGAGGATTGATAGAGTTCTGAAGATCATAGGACCATAAATAGGTTGAGGCTTTGTTTTTCTTAAAAAAAAAAGTGTATTCTTGGAACTTGCATTACATTTTAATTTGCTAAGTATTTCCAAATTTGAAATTTGGTACTCTTACAGAATTCCTTTTTAGGAGGTGCCTGGATTTTGTTGACCTCTCCAGACAGAACTTTTTACTGTGCAGGGTAAAAGTGCAGAGTTAGTGGTCTGAATACGGGCATCACCTACTTTATATTTGATGGTTGCATAATTGGTCAGTGACCAGTAGATATTTGTGTAACAGTTTCCATGTATTGTTTCATCCACTCTTTTTTTCCAAAAAAAATATTGGTAGGTTTAACCTGATCTTGTAACGGGTGGGCAAATGAAAGTAAATAAAGAGATGAAGCTTTCTCAAAGTCAGTTGATTCATTCAGAGTCAGAGCCAGAAATAGACGCTGAATTTACCGATTTAAGTCTGAGAACATATAGAGTAAAAGTTGTTTTAAAAAATATTACCTAATTTAAGGCCTTCACTTAGGAGATTTTCCAGTTTCTATTTTTAATAAGGTGAATTCCTTTAGTTGTGGAACAACTGGCCTTCCTTGGGATGGAGGAAGTGTGATTGCTGGTCACAGTGAAGCGGATTTTCTCTGGGTATCTCTCGTGGAGACTGTTCTTATGGTGGTAGAGCAAAGCCAGATGGGCACAGTCCCGTTTCTCAGCTGTTGTTTGTTTTCCTGTTATCTGGCAACACATTTGGTTCTTGCCCATCCTCTACTATTTTATGGGTATCTTGGAAATTCCCAGAAGCCTGGGACCACTAGCTTAGGGAAATTGTTTTCTGGCCTTTTTTGCATGTCTTTCCATGTCTTTGGATCATTATTTGCCAGCTGCCTTTAAAGAAGGTGATCATTAGCCCTATAAGCTTCCATGAACATCTTTTACTTTTAAACAATAGAATGAGGGTTGTCAGCTCTGCAGGAGGGAACAGATGTTTTTCACTTTTATTGCCTTTCAAATGTATGGAGAAAAGTCAAGTGAAGAGAGATCTCCGTGGCACAGGTTTGTGTTTCTTTGGCAGATGTAAAGACATTTAGCAGCGATGGAGACCAAAACTTTATCTTGTTTTAGCTGTTAAGGACCTGATCATATCTTAGGCCATTGCACTGAAATCTTTCAAATATTAATTTATATTAATGTAACAAGTATTAATTCATTTGAAATATAACTTTTTCAGTACTTACTGGAAAAAATGCTCTGAAATTTGAGATTCCTTTAAGTGCAGAGTATAGCAGAAGCTTGTTAATAGAATTTTGCAGTTAACGTTTAGACATATATAATGTTAAATTTGTAATGCCGCATCACTTTTGATAGGAATCTTTCCAAAGTCAATTATGTGCTTATCGGTCTTTTAACACATGGAATAAAAGTTTAATCTGTTTTGAATAGCTTAATGTCATCTTCCGACACATCATTATTACAGCCTATGAGACTGTCGGTGATGCCCCCAACAGCTGTTGAAGTGAGGCTGGTGGCCCCAGTCAGCTGTTTCAGAGTTTTTGTATCTGTGTAGTTTTCTTAACTCTTTCCTTCCTGTCAGCTAATTATTCTTCGAGCTCTCTTTAGTCCCAATTACTTCTAATTTGATTTTTCTGATCAATTTGTTGTTGGTCTGTAATTCCTGTAATTATGATGTTAGCTGTAATTATTGCACTTCTGCTAAATGGCCAAGCTCTGTTTTGGTACATTACATAATTATTTCCAATCCTTAGAACAATCTTGAAGTGTAGCTGTTTATCCTTCCTTCTCCCAATGAGCAAACCAAGACTCAGGCAAGTGAAGTAACTTGCCTAAGGGCATTAAGCTAATAAATGGCCCGTCTCGGATAAATAAAACCGAGGGCGATCAGTGAGCTTTTGGAGGACTAGCTAACTAACAAAGGGCTTGTGCTTTAGAATTTGGATTGTTCTCATTCTAAAGGTTATCTTAATTTATATGTCAATAGAGAGAAGGACCCACTCTATCAGTATTTTCTGATACAGCTTGTTAAAATTATTAGACTGATTGGTTAAGGCCAGGAGTAGACTTATTTCTGGGAGTAGCATCTAACAGAGTGTATATGTCCCTTTACTGTCTAATAAATGAATGAAGTTCCAAAAATCATTCCTGATCTATATGAGGCATCATTCTTACTGTATCAGGAAAGGGGATTATAAGGGTGCAATCCTTTTCCCTATATCTTGCCTTACTGGCTTCTATATGTCTTAATGGAAATTTGGCAACATAGGCTGAGACTGGGAGCACTATTCTCAAGTCATTTTAGTTTGGTCTGAAATGTCTTTCTCATGTTTCTTTAAGACTGTAGTTTGCATTGACATCAAGTACCCCTACGGGTTCGGTGATGGGTTTTAATGACTGATTTTTGAGCTGAGGACTGGACTACTTCTAACTGCATTTAGGCATTTGGATACAAGTCATGTGTATTTGAACTTGAACAGGTGTTTTTAGGGCTATGTTTCCTTTTGATTCTATTACAAAATGCTGAACATACTATAGCTGGGTGATGGTGGCAGCTGTTACTCTAACTACTGTTATTTGAGGTAAATCTGCAAACTCATAACTCAAATAACTTCCTCATACATATGAAGATGGAGGAGTAATTTTAAATTAATAATGTGAAGATTAAATGTGCCAACTAAGGAATGTCACTTGCTGCCTGGTTCTACAAGAACTGGGTCAGGAGCCATTGTAGTTGCTGACCTGCAGTACACCTTGAGAATAATTCAAGGAGGAGGTCAGGAATGAGGTACTCTGTGCTCTGGACAGACAGACAGAACAGGCCCTCAGATAAATGGATATATTTTCAAGGGAAGTTTTTGTGAATCCCAATTCTCGCATTTTCCCATACTTAGAAAAGCACTAATGCCATTAACTGAGATATTGTTCCTCTTGACTAGCAGTAACTTTCTATCAAGATGTGTGCTTGACTGCATTTACCTCTTCGCCAAAATCACGTATATCCTGGCCTCCCCCCTCACTTCTTTAGAACAATTCCTTGGAACGAACTGAGAGGATGTCTCTCAGGCTATAGTCCTCAGTAAGTCCCCAAATAAAACTGAAACTCAGCTCTCACGATGATTGTTTTTGCTTTGGTCCACAAATGAAATAGCATACGTAGAACGTCTGAGACTCTGCCGGGTGCATGGAAGGCACAGAGTTGGTGCTGTTTGCTTTCCTGCCTTGGTTTATCGCCTTAATAGTCCACCTTGTTCAAAGCAGTCCAAACCAAATTTGTTAAAACAACTCTGAAATTGTGTACAAAAACTTGGCAGGATATAATCAAATGCTAGTTGAAAATTTGTATTTTAGTCATTATTATTATTACTTTTTTGCTAATTTTTTAATACATCATTTTTTTTTCTTTTTTGCATTTTTCTATGATTATAAGCCTTTTTATGGTTCTCTTGGGGGTCTGGAAAAGGAAAGCACATGATGGGGATATGGCTGTGTTAAAGGAGGGGTGGGTAGGGGAGGCACAGGCTGTTACCCTTTATGTATATGTTCCGTGTAGCATCTGGCTCCAACTGCCTGAGTGCAGCCTTAACCTCCCGTGGTGCCCTTCATAAACTCTCTACTTCAGATAAATTAATCTGCTTACTGTTTTATGAACATGCATTTCATTTTCATGACATTGTGGCTTTGACTTGCAGTTTTTACCCTCCTGGAACACTCTATTTGTCTCTCCTGATTCAGCATCTGAAAAGGGCTGATTAAATTCCCATATCCACTTTTGTATCTATACCAGCTAGACCTAACTGATAAATCTCAGGTGCGATAAATCTTTTGTGGATTGATTTTAAAATAGATAACCATGGTGGGATATGAAAATGAGAGACAGGCTAATAAAAACATCTTGCCATGAGAGTGTATCTCTTTCACACAAGCTGTGAGAGAGGCAGTCATTCCTAGAAATCTGAGGCCAGGGAGGCCTTGAGCAGTGGTGTCCCCTGGGAATCACACAAATGCCTCTGTGGAAGGTGGGCAAAGATTTCTAGGAGCCTTGGGTGATAGGATGACAAGTAAAGATCACTGCAAACCAAGCCTGTGTTTGCTTTTGTCTAATTTAAATGCTTTTTAAGTTTTCCTATAGTTACCATTATCATGAATGACTAGAAGGCAGCCATCCTCATTTGATATGTCAAAAAGAAATGCGCTATATGCTATAAAGAAAAGGAAAATTAATCTTCCTTGAAGTAGAAAATTTTTTTGTATCTCTTCTCTTTTATAACTAATTTTGCATACTTTATTATAATAAAGTTTATCAATAACAGATTATAAATATATAGGAAACTGCTGCTAAAAATAACACTGGTTTTCAAAACTAGTCCCAGAGTCCTCTGTACTATTAGCAATTAACTGAAAATACTTTTTATATTTCTGAAAAAATTAGGTCAAGGAGTAAAATAATTAGCAATAAGATATTTACATGGTTTAAAAAATAATCTGTTTCTATGTCAGCTTCAGCTTTTACTTGAAAAGCTATGCATATGAAACAGATGGCAAGTTTTTACTCAAACTGAAAAACACAGTTGGTGTAAGGTTTTGGTCACTGCATGCAATTAGCTTGGGTACTCCCTAAATGAATGGCAGAGTTACTTTACTCCTAAAAGATATCTTAACTTTCACTAACTTAATTACATTTTATTTTAATTTGGTAGATTTCTTTCTCACTAAAGAAATCAAATCTTGCATTTGTCACTAAGTTAATATTGTAAGTATGTTTGAAAGAATTGTGAAAACAAATGTTGATGGTGTGTTTATACAAGCAGCATTCTGGAAAATGGTATCTCAGTGTTCCTAGAAAACTGAATTACTCCCCAGGTTTTCAGAATGTTTTTGTTTCTAAGATTGCCATACAAAGGAAAATCTGTTCAGTTCATTAAATTGTTGACTCTACATCAAGAGTTGAAATGTGCACACTAATGTGCTTTCTTTGATCTCTCATTTGACTGTTTATCAAAGCTGATTACAGTTTGAATACACAAATCTTCTTAGCTTCAAAATCATATAAAAGTGATAGATATTAGGACATTTTAAAGTATTCTCTGCTATTCCATTAGGTTTGGTAAGAGTGTCTGTTTTTGTGTTTTGTTCCTTAGGTAAGAATCAGTCTTCCACCACATTGGATTAAAGTGTTTTTCAGCCAAAATTGTCATGCAGTGAAGCATGAGCTGTTTTAGCACACATCACAAGGAATCATTATGAACAAGTGAAACTCACTTCATTCCACTCACCACAATTTAGGGGCTTTTATGCTTTTTGAAAAGCTGTAAGTACGTGCTTTATCTACATACAATGTTGAAATGTGATAAAATAGCAGTTAATGTATTCAGTTAAACATTATTATGTGTTATATCTCTTTAAGAATTTCAATAGCTTGATGTCCAAGAGTTTCAGAGGGTATTTATATAGTCCCTGCTAATTATTGAAGGCAATATGCTAAGTATTTTGTATATGTTTACAAATTAATCTTTTGCCTAAAATTATGTAGCTAATTTTAGTGGCAGAAACAGGAATGGAACACACACTCTGTAAGATATTCTAGTGTTTTTTAATTTCATAAATCATCTATGTGATTCTTCTAAAATAATTCAGGAATTTTCTTCTAATTTCAACCTTAATCTCTGTATTTTACAACAAGCAAACAAGCAAACAAACAAACAAACAAATAGAAAAACATGCTAAGGCAAGTAGAAGAATGTCCTTCCTGAAAGTGGTATGTTGTGGTGCTTTGTTGTTTCCTCTTAAACAAACTTTATATGGTTCCAGGATTGCTTCTGGAAGCAAACCATTTTCATGCTAAGCAGCCCAGAGCAGATTTTATAAGACAATATGTTCATATTGGAACCTTTTCAAAGTAAAATTGTAGAACATTTATTCTATTTTTTAATATGGCTAACCATCAACCAGTAAGTTTATATAAACAATCTAAAGCACAAAAAGGAAAGGGGAAAAATCCCTCTGCTGCCAGCTCAAATGATTCTTGTTAAACTCTGAAAATCCTGGCAAAGAGTGGCAGCATGACACCAGATTATGGCTTTGCAGATACTGCACAGACCTTTGCATAAAGACTGCCTTGAAGTTGTGAAACATTAACCAGCCCAAGCTGGACTATTGTGTTTTAAGTAGGTGTAGGGGAGCAACACTTGCCACCTGAAAATGTCTCTTTGGCATACAGATTACTTTGAGCTGAAAACAATCACGTCCCAAAAGACCGAGGAAGAAACCTTGCCCTTTCCCCTAAGCGTGTAAAGAATGTAGGTAGCTGATCCGTTCTAGGAAAGGAGCTATCACCATAAGTAACTATAGTATGAACTAGGTGTGTAGAGAGTGGAACCTAGCAAACTCTGTTAGGATTCCTCTCTGTGTCCCATTATCTCCACGTGGCCCAGCAAACATTTTTTTAACCAAACATTTGCTTTTCATCTCCAAGTGAATTGCCTTCCTCCCTTTGAAGTCCCGAACCACTACCCCGAAACTGTCTTTTGTTTTTAGCTGATGGTAATATTTAAGGTGAGACTTTCGGCAATTTGGGGAATGACTCCGTTTTCCTAGGTCTCTCCTATGTATACGTGTTGTTAAACTTTTGTTTGATTTTCCCCTGTTAATTTGCCTCATGTCAACTTAATTCTTAGACCATCATTCCAGTTCTATATGGATCAATCCTGAGGGAAATTCAGGATAGAAAAACCCAGAAGCATTCTGTGCTTTGGATATATGGGCCCCCAGATAGTTAAGATGCATATCTAGGGAAGAATTTCAATAACCCCTTATTCTTGCATCTTCTCATACAAAGAAAAGCATTAAATCATTAACTTGAGATGGCTGTTCTTTGTGATTAGCAGTAATCTTTTTCATGCTTGACTATGTTAGAGCAGGCGGGTAGCTAGATATGAGCAGAGAAAGGGGGACACAGGCCAAATGGCAGAGAACCATACATCTTGTGAACAGCGAGGGTCCTTGGACAGACCAAGAAAAACAGGAAAACCCCAACTGATGAGAAACCATACATTCTGGGTTGACAAATGTCCTGGGGGCAAAGAAAGGTGGGATGAGACAGGAATCTCCATCATCTGAATGTGACCTTTTTCTCATTATAACCCCAACTGAATGCAGCCTTTTGTTCAGTATGACCTCATCCTGATCAAGACTAAATAAGAACAAAAAGTCCCCCCCCCAGGAAGGTGGAGCTGGAATGAAGATAAGGAAAGACAACCTCCCTGCCAATGAATATTCTGCCTATTCATTTTTACACCCATATAATGAGCTTGCCAGAGAAACTCCGGGCAGCTACCCACCTGGGTCTGCCCACTCCTTCCTTGAGAGTGTATTATCTATCCCTTAATAATTCCTTGCTTTGCTTTCTCTCATTTCTGAATTCTTTCTGGCAAAACTGACAAGACAGACTTTTCTCACTGACAACAACTGTATGTTTTTCCCAGCCAAAAAAAAAAAAAAAATCTATCTATCTATCTATCTATCTATCTATCTATCTATCTATCTATCTATCTATCTATCTCCTGGCTCCTTCCTTATCTCTTCTGGAGCAATTCCTCAGAGCTATCTGAGAGGCTGTCTCCCAAGCTATGGTCCTTATTAAGGTCCCCAAATAAAACTGAAACTCATTGTTCTCATGTGTGCACTTTTCTTCAGTTGACACCAGCCAAGAGAACCTACAGTGGTAGAGAAAACTTTCTTTCCCGACATATAATAGAGAAAGCTTAACATACTCAGGTGACCATGGGTTTGATTTCATGTGCAGTTCTAATTTTTTGTAATCAATTTGTCCTTTTCTATCTTGTCTTCTGATTTCTCCAAATGGCCACAAGTTTGACCCAAATGGGAATGATTATAAAATGCAACTTTTACTCTCACTAGCTCCATCTTTTTTAAATTGATCTTTTAACTTTTTGTCTTGTAGCTTAGTGATTTTCAAACTGTGTCACAGACCATTAGTGAAGCATGAAATCAATAGGTTTAATATAATGAAAATATTAGAGAGCATTGCATGAAGTAAGATTATTTTTGAAAACTTCATATTAAGTGTGTGTGTGTGTGTGTGTGTGTATAGTAATACATAAATTCCTAGAATACTTAGTGGTCAAAAAATGAGAAAGTCACTGCCATACGTATTTTGTGTGATGGATTCCTTAAGTTATTTTAAGTAATTTGAAAATAGTAATGTAATCTCTTTCCCAAATTTGATCTTTAATTTTGTGTTAGGCTACCATTCTTCATTTTAGACAAAAATGATAGCAAATAAGTGGGTACCCTTTCACCTCCTCATTTTTATTTAGTAGAAAGTGTTAGTAGAAAGTCTTGCACTTCTGTAGAAATAATCTCTGGATCTGTTCATTTGTGGTCTGTTGTGGAGAGCACTAGTGAAGATGGTCACATACCATCTCTGTTTAATTTTTTGACTTGGTTTTTGCACCTTTTCTTGAGAATTATTTTCAACTAATGATTGACACTTCAATCATTGACAAACACATTTGATGTGAATATGAAATTAACTAGTGTTTTGTTTTCTCAGTTTAATCTGACTGACAAAGAAATTATTAAAAAAAAAGAATTACTTAAGATCTAAAAATTTTAGTTGGTTATTTAATATATTTTATCTGTGTCAGTATAATAGTATTAACTTAATAAAAATTAACTAAAACCTATTCAACCATATCTATTTATAGAATTAAAATAAACTTTGATTGGAGTATATTAGAAATGATGATTAAAAATTAATTAAAATATGTTTATTATTTTCAGATCATATTTTGCTGCAGATAGTATAACTGCTTATCATTTATCTCATCTCTTATTCTTTTCTTGCATTTTCAGCCTAAATTGACCAAGAGACAAAGGAGAACTTACTGATGATAGAGATTCATAAAATGTGAGAAATTATTTTCCTTTAATATATAATATTTGTTCTCAGAATAAGCTTATGAAGTGCTTAGTATGTTTCATCTCAAGAAACCAATCATTAGTTCAATTTTTATTTTCAAGGGTAAAGGAAAAATAAACTAATATAATAGTGTACTTTAATTTCACATTGAATTTCTAAATTTTATTTTGGTGACTCTGGATGATGTTTAATTCTGTTAAGTACCAAATTATGTGATTAGCTTAGCACCTCCTCTTTTGAATAGGACTTAGGACCGTGGAAATATAAGAAAAAGGAAGATAGCAGGAAGCTGTTTCAAGATGAAAAAGGGTGAAGGGTTTGGTAATAGGAAACTATTGAGTGTCCACATGCAAAATTAGAGTCAAGATAGGAAGCCCTGAGCTTCCCACACATATGCCCTTACTTGCAGAATGGATATTTGCAATCATGGGTGAGCATAGAAAAATATCTCAGTAAAGAAGTTGTGATATATGTATCACACACAGTGGAATACTACTCAGCCATAAAAATAAAATAATGCCATTCACAGCAACATAAATGGACCTGGAGATTGTAATATTAAGTGAAGTAAGCCAGAAAGAGAAAGAAAAATACCATATGATATCACTTATATGTGGAATCTTAAAAAGGGACATAAATGAATTTATTTACAAAACAGAAACAGACTCACAGACATAGAAAACAAACTTGTGGTTACCAGGGGGGAAAAGGGGAAGGGTGGAGGAATAATGTAGGAGTTTGGGATTTGCAGATACACACACTACTACACATAAAATAGATGAACAACAAGGTCCTACTGTATAGCACAGAGAACTATATTCAAAACTTTGTAATAGCCCATAAAGAACATGAAAAGGGATATATATATATATATATATATATATATATATGTGTATATATATATATATATATATATATACAACTAAATTACTATGCTGTACACCAGAAATTAACACAACATTGTAAACCAACTATACTTCAATTGAAAAAAAAAAAGACAGGAAAGTATCTCAGAAATCTCCCTGCTTCTCTACCTCAATTTTCTCTTCTTCTCCTTTCTCTCTATATTAGACAGGGTTCTCCAGAAAACAGAACCAATAGGGTTTGTGTGTGTGTTTGTGTGTGTAGAAAGAGAGAGAGACTGATTTTAAAGAATTGGCTCACGGCAGGCTGGAAATTCTGGAAGTTGTTGATATTACAACCTTGGGTCTGAAAGTGTCTTGGAGACAGAATTCCTTCCTATCCATTGTCTTTTTTCGTGTTGCCCTCAGTTGATTGGATGAGGCCTATGGACAGTAAGGAGAATAATCTGTTTTTCTCCGAGTCTACAGATTTAAATGCTAATCACATAAAAAAATACCTTCCCAATAACGTCTAGACTGGTGTTTAACCCAAAACTGGTTACCATAGCCCACATTCAATAAAGAAATCTGATTACTCCTGAGGGAAAATTTTGATTAAAGAAGTTCTCTGCCATTACTTTGTTAGACAAGATCCTATATAATCTGTGAACAGATATCACAAGTTTACTCGTTGCTGATTTAATGTAAAACATTGTCCTGGGCAAATTGGTAAACAGAATAGGCCAGTTTCTATGAAAAGGAAAAACTGAGGTCAAGGCCTTAAATGATAACAAGCAAAATCTCAGTGAATTACATGAACGAAATGCTGGATAATGACGAAATTGTTCATGAAAGAGCCATCTTTTATAGTTAAACAACTAGCTCTGAAATGAAAGAGTAAAATAAGTATGATGGATCATTTAAACCATTCCTCAAAGAAGTAAGTCTCTGTACCGTGTTTGTAGTCCTCGTACATGACCTGGACCACAGTCAGCAGTCATTCTGTGTGGGAAGGCGCTGTGATCCTGGCCTGATGGCCTTTCCAGTCTGAATCCTGCCTTCTGCATTTGCTAGCTCTGTGCTCTGGGGCCAATACCTTAACCCCAGGATAACAGTACCTACTTTGTAGGTAAGAATTTCGTGAGATACTCTTTGCCCCATGCTTAGTACTTAGTGATCAATAGATGTTGCTATTTTATTTTCACATTGCTGTGTTATTTTCACATTATTATGATATTCAGAGATTATAAAAAGTTTGGTGATAGACGTGGAAACCAGGGTCAGATTCCAATCTCAGGCTGTGTATTGGTTCATTTTGTGTTCCTCACTGGCTCCATCGAATCTGGATTAGGCAGCCTGGCATGGTTATGGAGCATAGATTTTGGTATCAGACCTGTGTTCCAGCCCCAAGCTGCTAATATTGTGGCTCTAAGAATTTATCATAACTTTTGAATCTGTGTCCTTCTCTGTGAAATAAGAGAAACAATACTCACATTGTAAGTGGGTGGAGCTGAGTCCAAAATAGTTAAATTTAATGAGTTAAATGCATATGTAGAATACCTATCTCATGCAGATGTTTTGAAATCCTCTTCTGTAAGTATTTACCAAAATACTTGAGCTTGGGAGGCTGACTTCCAGAATGAACTCTCTTCCTAACACATAGTCATTTAACTGGAGAAAATTGTATAAAAACAATCACTTGCCATTTCTAGAACATCTTTTAAGGATATCCAGCAAGTGGAAAATCATTCATTCCAGAAAATCTACTAAATCTTCGTAAGAACCGTGAGAGTCTGTGGCCTTTGAGCCACAGCTCATTCTTTTCATCCCCATCTCCTGGCAGCTCCGCAGGAGCTCTGACCAGGCAGGCACCCTCTCCGGGCTCCCCGGTGGAGGGGCTGTCTTCTCACCCTGGATCAGCAGGCTGCCAGCATTACTTCTTCCCCCCGGCTGCTGTTGATTGCATAAGTCCTATTCTAGACTAACAGTGTGGAGAGGACAGGGTCTCTCTTCCTCAACCAAGCCCCCATTTGTAGGATGTAAGCTCTATCCCAGGTGTGGCACACCAAGGATATTGGGCCCCAGACGTTTGCACCTTTCCATACATAGAAAAGCACTCAATTCCTTAACTTGATATATCTGGTTTTCTTTAATTAACAGTAATCCTTTGATGTTCCAACTATCTGGTCTTCATTGCAAAAACTCCTATGTATCCTGGCTTCTCCCCTGCCTCTTCAGAGCAGCACCTCAGAGTGATCTGAGAGGCTGTCTCTCAGGCTCGAGTCCTCAGAAAGTCCGCCGAATAAAACATAACGTTCAGCTTTTAGGTTGTGCTTTTTCTTTTTCAGTTGACACCTGTCCATCTTCCCTCAAAAGAAAAAGAATTAAAATGAGACACATATACACTCTCATTCTTTATTTGATGTCTAAATATTTGAGTTGCTGTGGCAAAGCCCTGAGGGAGAGGAGAGCCAGGAATATGCATGTGGGGACATATCTTCTCAGACTTCCATCTCTCCTATTTTTACTTTACTATAGGTTATTGTTATGTTTTATGTACTGTATTATTAAGCCAGCTGAAGTCCATTTTGGAGGTAAGATGATATATAACTGATTCTAAGTACCAGTAAAGGTGACCTTCCTCATTTTCCTGCTTTCTGTTAGCCCTTTGACCTTGAGGCAGCAAATATCTGGGGAAGTTTCGGTTGTATGAATGTACTGAAAGCATCCTAATCAAAGATATTTCCTTGTGAGGCTCTGTTTTTATCTCAATGATGTTATTATGACTCAAGACATTTTAGTTTTACTTTATACACTGTCACAAGAGATCCAGTGACACATTGATGACAAATGTATGTGCTTGAATTTTTAGAACTGGTTGAGAGTCATCTACAGATAATTGTAGCTGAATTTGGCTATACATGTCTTGAGGATATTTTCTGTAGCAAAAGAGAAGCTTCCCAAGGCTTTGAGGTTCTTTGGCATTGCACATGTTCATCAAGACCGCTCCTGTTAGGTAGTTAGTTAAGTGAGGGCACTGGGCAGACAGGTGGAGGAGAGGGAGGATGGTCCTGAAGATGGCAATATGCCCACCTCCAGCGTAAAGGGACTTCACTTCTAAATGAGTGCCAGCAAGAAACCTGTTAGAACCCAACTGCCACAACTACGTGGTAGCAAAAAGAACTTAACTAGACATGACCCAATGCCCATTGTAATATAATTAACATTGTGGTTTAGGCCCCCTCCCCATGGGTTTCTCTGTGTACACCATGGGCAAAGGAAACAAGCATGACTAAGCACTCCGCAGGCAAGAGCCATCAGTCAATCAAAAGACCGTCTCTAAGCGAGGGTACAAGAGAAAGAGCGAAACAGACTGCAGCTTTCCCCCCTTGCATTAGCCCGCCTCCCGTTCTTGGCGGTGTACTTTTGTTTTCCTAAGTAAATCCTTTAAAATCTTTCGCTACACAACACACTCCGTCTCCCATCTGTAATCTTGTCTTTCGGGTAAGACAAGGACTGCGTTGTTTTCTTTTCGGGGGGTAACACTATGAAGGAAGGAGAGCCAGCAGGGTGCACGGGCCCTGACAGGCCATCTTGAATTGCAGTTGGAAAAACCTCACAAAGTACCTGGGCCTCGTCTGCCTCATCCATACAAGGCATATAATAGCATCTCTCCTGTCTTCTCGGCTGTAGGAATGAGATACCTTGTTCTCGGCACTATGAGAGTTTCCTCAAGTGTGGCTAGTAAGAGGCCTTCCGGGAAAAGCAAATTCATGTGAAAATGTTTTGTAAACTGCACAAATTCTGGTTATCAGCCTACTTTAAAAGGAATTATATACTCATTTGTCTATATTTGAGTACTTAAAAAAAACCTTGATTCAGTCCATTTAAAATGGACAAGTGAAATTTTATCAAGAAACTTAGAATTCTTTTCTGTAATGGAATATTTTGTATTTTTTGGGTCATTTTATGATTTCCTAACTAAATAAAAATATGCAAAAGAAACAATGGTTAGTATATACTTTGAAAGTAAATCAGATCTTTTTTATAGTCCATTTGTTAGCATAATAGTTTTATGTGCTAGTTTGTCTGTTTTTTCACACGTTTTTGCTATTAATCTGAGAAGTGAGACTTTGAGCTCTTTTTTCATGTGAACATAAGTATGTAGCTTTTGGATAGATAGCTTGCATTCCTTAATCCTCCCAGAAAGTAAGACTACGGAGCAGATGA